TTTCCTGCGGCTGGTCAGACCCCAAATCCCACGTGCTCCTCAATTTATGAGCCACAACTCCCCGGCTCTCAGAAAAGTGAGAAATTCTTTCCTGCCTTTTGAGAAGTATCAAAGAAAATAGAGGAAATTGGCTCCAATTTAGTTCTTACAAATTAATACCCAGTGAACACCCTAAGTGGGGGCTAAATACGTAAGTCTCAGTAGGAATTTACTCTTAATAAGAAGGTTTTCATCCAGATAGCCATAAAAATCACTAAAAGCAAATTCCAATGTATCCGGTAATGTTACAATGAAATACTACTCTCAAATCCTATTTCACAACTTTTATTAAAGTCATAAAATGGCAAAAACCTTGAAGTCATATTTCACTTCCAAAAAAAAATTGTATTTCTTTGTCAGGCAAAGAAAAGATCACTTATATAAATGCACTTCACTGAAACCCTGAGCAGGATACAGAAAGTCAGTGGCAATTTTAGACTTATGCAACCTATATATTTGCTGAAAGACAGTACAAAGGGCAACCCACACCTCCCACTCCCATCCCAGTCCAACCCCAGCACTGGCCACAGCTTCCTCTTCCACTCACCCAACCTTCTTTGGCTATTTGCTCCTCAAGTTCTCCTTTCAACATTTCAACTCGTTGAGTGCCAGCAGCTTAAAAATAAATCAGGAAGGGGAAGGAAGATCATACTAGCCCAAAGAATTAAGAAATTTTTAAAAAATCTGTTAAGTGTATCCACTCACGAGCAGAAAAAGATCTATCAGGACAATTATGTCCTGGGAAATAGGAGACCATCCCACAATTGTTTGGTTTTTTTTAATTTTACCAATATAATGCCTAGATTTGTTACAGGAATGAAAAAAAAAGTCACCTTCCTTCTGAGCATCCAACTGCAGAGGCCAGCTCCCAAAATCAGTGTCAGTTCATTTGAAAGCTTCTAAGAAAAGCTTCCAGAGTCAAGAGTGTCCAAAGCATTTCAAAGGCAATTTATTCAATCTATTAGATGTGAGAAAATGTCATGTAATTCCGCAGAATGATTCTGCTCATCTCAAGATAGTCCAGACCTTTCTGTCTACAGGGTCAGTCTTTTTAAACAAGCTAAGTACAAAATGGCCATTTTCAAAAATTAAAAGAAGAATTAACTTAAATGATGTAAACCAAAACGATGACTGAAATTACTTGGCTGAATATTTTTCCTTGTATCATTTGTAACTTGGGATAAAGTAATTTATATTATCTTAATATTACCTATTCTTGAGTAGGCATTCTCATCAGCTACTACGGGACTTCGAAGACTGTTGAACTAATTCACTTGTATCTGTCAACATTAATTCAATAGCATTCTGAGGTAATAATCACTATCAATCTAATTATATCAGCCATCTCCTGTAAATGTGCAACAATTATTTTAATTAAAATATTCAATATTTAGAAAATAGAAAGGAACATATATTAATAATTTATATACTTCATTTGAATCTACCTGAATCACCCTAATTCCTGAACACCAAAGTTTGCTTTCTTTGCATCCCCCTTTAATACCTTCCAGGGGGGTTTCAAGGCACAACCCATCAAGAAAAAATGAAGGGAAAAATGCAGGATTTATATTGTTCTGCTTTTATCTGTGGAGTATCAGTCTCATTCACTTAAGAAGTCTTTCAAGAATATTCAAAGGATAGTTCTAGAGTAGCTAGCGTTAAAACAAAGGATGCAGGTTCATCTCCTGTATCATACATGCAAATGATACATATAATTCCCATACTAAGCCAGGATCATTTGGGAACCTTTTTACCTTTTCCCCCCCACGCCTTTTTTCAAAGTTAATCTTAGAAATCCCCCTTTCATGTTCCACCTGTGCTTGTGTGGACTGTAAGGACATCCAAAATGCCTGTTCCCTTGTTTAAGAATTAAGGTGAGTATTCAGGTGCTGCAATGAGATTTGGGTTCTTCCCAAAAGCCACAGAACAGAACCAAATATTAAAGAATTAGGGCAATATTAGAAGCTACAGCTGTTTGAATGCCCTATAAAATTAAGAATCCTTTAAGCAGTTCTTTTTAATGCTTTTAACAGTAAAATCCTACAGGTTTTTCACCGTGTCTCTCAAGAAACAAAAGGAATTTGCTCAGTTAATTTTCTCTGATAAACACTCAATGTGCCCACTTCCCTCAAATCAGCATGATTTAAATACCAAGAGGAAAAATTAAACCTGTTTGGCACAACCATAATGTGGTTAATATGCCTGGTAACTAAAGAATTAGCAAATACAAATCAAACTAGAGGACATGAAAGCATACCACAAGCACACACTATCAACTACTACGTTCGAGGACACACAGAAGGTCTGACTATCCCAAAAAAGAGCCTGAAAAGTTTTAACAAAAGTCAAGTGGTTTCATGTTAAAATAAGCCATCCTGGGAAGTTTTCATTCAAAAAGTGTATGGGGTGGCTTATTAAGATTACATTTCATAGTAAAGTCCTTATTCAAAGTCAAGAAACATCAATGCAATCGTCATAACCATAATCTTTACCTTCCAGTGAATATATATTAAGATACACTCTTTTCATGTAAAATCAGCAATACTGTTTTTCTGTATTATGAGACATCATGCCACTCTGTACCAAACACCCTCCACACAACAGGAGACGTGAGGAAGGACCTTTTCCAGGTGGAAGCTGAATATTGACAGCACTAAAGTGCACACAGTAAAGAACACATGTACTAAGTCGGGAAGAAAAGTGCTTGATGTGCAACACGCCAAAATTCTGTTAACTGAGCTATAACTTTGCATTTCCCCCCCAAAAAATGGCTAAAACTTCACAGGGAATACAGACATCATTTTGTATTCATATTGTATTGATTTGTTTGAGGATTGGGTTTTTTTGTTTGTTTGGGTGGAGTTTTTTTAATAGAAATAAATAGAGAGGCAAGTAGTTCTGGTTCAGGTACGTGAAGTAGCAAATCTCAGCTCCATGCAATTCACACAACACCCTTCAAGAACCGGGCGCTTTGCTGCTGTGTTCAGCAAGAACCATTCTAGAGCCTCAAATTTCTGATTAAAAGTGTGTCCTGCTGCCCAGGAAGGGTGCAAAGAGGATTCCAATGTGAATTAGAGCATCTCCAACTCATCTACAGTTTGCCTTCCTCAGTTACCTGGTCCAAGCCTTCCAGGGACCGAGAACCACAGCACGGCGTAAGAGTCAGTGAGTCCCACAGGCCAAAAATGCAAAAGTCTGCTTTAAATCCCACCCTCGAAAGAGATTACTACTAGGGGGAGAAAAAACAACAAAACCCAGCACAAAACAAAAACTAAAGATGAGAAGAGCCACATTAACTATGTGCTAATACCTCCCAGCATCTTGTTAGAAGACAGACATATTTGCAACGTTCTTTATACACACACACTCAAAACAGTTATTAAATTCGTTTCCTTTGCCTTGAACATATCATAGCTAATAGCACTAAATGTCAGGTTTCAAAATTCAACTTGTTCCTTATAGTCTCATTTTTTTCTCCAGTTTTCCCTATAATCTACTTTTAAAACATTTTAAAACTGAGAAACATTTTCACTATTTGTTTACTTCACAGATATGGCTAAAGGTATTTCAATGTAAACACTTCCTTCCTTTTCTAAAACTATTTTAAGGAAGATTTTAGCACTGAAAATAGTAACCTGCAACTTGTCTTTTTAGCTCATGTTAAAATTGGAAGCAGCGATGCGGAAACATTTTGGCAATATGAAGTAAACGGTAATTGAGAATTACAATAGCAGCAGGCATTTGAGAGATAGATACAAATTTTCCTGATTTCGGGATCTATCAGTTGGCAAGAGGCAATTAAAATACACTTATTCCTTTCCTCAGAAGGGAAGACCAGGCAGCGTTCTCCCTGCTGCTTCCTGATGCCATGGAGCTGCTTCACCTCCAAGATCTCAGCTACAGCGGGTGGGAGGGATGGGTCAGATCTCCCCCCATCACCCTCCTGTTGGTAAACTGGGAAGCACTGGACGCTGCCTAGACTAACCAGCCCCCAGGGGTAGAGCAGAACACCATTTTCTTCCACGGAAAGGAAGAAAAAGCAGGTTTGAGATTCAAAAATAATACCAAGCAGTTTGATGAGCATGAAAGCTAACGGGCAGCTTGTCTATCGATCTGTCTCCTGCAGCTGTTCTCAGGCTTTAACTGAAGTTTTTTCCTCCGGGAAGCTTCTTGTCCGTGTGGAATTTTTTTTGGGGGGGGGGTCTATCAATAGGCTGAGTCCAGCACTTCAGGAGTCTCCCTCCTCCGCTGCTCCTCAAGCTTCTTATGCCCTCATGAGGGGTGAGCAATTGCTGTCCTTGGGGAAACCAAGTCCCGGGGGAGACATGATGCTCACGGGAGACTCCTTTCCTCAGGAAACACGCTGGAAACATCTCACTCAGAAATTAAACACTAAGTTCATGCAGAAGTTACTTGCACCTATGTACTTGGCTTATTATAATTAATACAATTTGCTATGCGTGCAGTTATAAATCTATATATATACATTTATATAAGTTATACTGATAATTTTGTGTACTTTGCATAATTTTCTGTATGTACCTATGTATATATAGCTAATTATATAATTGTTGTCACTCTGTTATACATACTCGTGCGTGCAGAGTTAGTAACCACACATCGATGAGGCAAGGAAACAGGAACCACAAACGATAACCTGCCCAGAGACGCAAAATTACGAGGAATTTCCTAATTCTGCCCACGAGTTCGCCCTTCAGGGGGACGCGCCAGGGGAAGCCCGGCGACACCTCGGGGGTAATTAGCAGCGGAGGAGCTAATAGGCGCTTTCTATCTGCCTTTCTACGGCAGGTTTTCCTTCAACACCGGGCTAGGGAAGGGCTGGCGAGGCTCCAGCTGAAGAAGCCGGTCCCCCTTTCCCGGGGGCAGCCAGGGCCGGGCCCGCCGCCCCCCGCCGGGCCCGCGGCTCGGGAGGCGGCCCCCCCTTCACCCCCGTCACTTGCCTCCCATTCCCGCAGGAAGCGCTGGGCCTCGGCGGGGCCGGCGGCCTTGTGCTTCCTGAACTCCTCCTTCACGTAGCGGTCCCCCAGGGCCCGCAGGGCGGGCGGCAGGGCCCGGTGCAGCAGCAGGATCCGCCGGTACAGGCCCAACGCACCGCCCGCCATGGCGGCGGAGCGGGGCCCGGCGGAGCAGGCCTGAGGCGGCCGCACCGGGGGCGGGGCGAGGGGGCCGAGCTGCGGGCAGGGCCCGGGGAGGGACGGGACGGGGAAGGATCTCCGTAAAAATAATAAAAAAAAAAAAATCGGTAAATGGTTCAGCTCGGTTTTCAGCAGCAGGAGAGAGAGGTGGCGCGCGGTGTCCAGCTTGAGAGGCCTCAGCACGGGATCCGCCGGTACAGGCCCAACGCACCGCCCGCCATGGCGGCGGAGCGGGGCCCGGCGGAGCAGGCCTGAGGCGGCCGCACCGGGGGCGGGGCGAGGGGGCCGAGCTGCGGGCAGGGCCCGGGGAGGGACGGGACGGGGAAGGATCTCCGTAAAAATAAAAATTAAAAAAAAATCGGTAAATGTTTCAGCTCGGTTTTCAGCAGCAGGAGAGGGAGGCGGCGCGCGGTGTCCAGCTTGAGAGGCCTCAGCACGGGAAGGACATGGAGCGGGGCCAGAGGAGGCCACAAAAATGATCAAACGGCTGGAACGCTTCTGGGAGGGGGGGGCTGAGAGAGCTGGGGGGTTCAGCCTGGAGAAGAGAAGGCTCCGGGGAGACCTTAGAGCCCCTTCCAGTCCCTCAAGGGGCTCCAGGAGAGATGGGGAGGGACTCTGGATCAGGGAGGGGAGCCATAGGAGGAGGGGAAGGGTTTGACACTGAAAGAGGGGAGATGGAGCTGAGATGTGGGGAAGAACTTGTTTGGTGTGAGAGGGGTGAGAGCCTGGCCCAGGTTGGCCAGAGAAGCTGTGGCTGCCCCATCCCTGGAGGGGTTCAAGGCCAGGTTGGAGGGGGCTTGGAGCAACCTGGTCTGGTGGGAGGTGTCCCTGCCCAGGGCAGGGGGTGGCACTGGATGGGCTTTAAGGTCCCTTCTAACCCAAACCATGAATGAGTCCATTAAACCCAGTCTTCATAAGCTAAATTTATCTGTGTTTTTAAGTATGGGTGAGAGACAAGAGGAGCTGTAGGTTATAGTTTCGTTTTTTCTCACTGGCGGTTCCCATTGCTCTTCGTGGCTGTGATGCTCTCGGGACGGGCAGACAGGCCCTGGCAGGGGGGTGCTGATCCTCAAATTGCTCGCTCTCTTTTCAAACTGTATTTTCTGCAGATGTTTCTTTGAGGAAGGATTTCAGGATTTGGTGCAATTTTTGTCTACCCCTGTGTCCTTCAACGTCTTCAAATTTTTAAAAGATTGAGGTTCAAAAACTGATTTGCTTTTCAATTCCGCTGAATCATCTCAAGGTTCATTCGCTTACAGAAATTATTTGAGCCTTTCTTTTATATAATGACCTCCGTATTTATATAGCACAGTGACAGCTTTCTCCTCGCTACATCCACCCTGTGTGGTTTTTAGGAGCCCTTCTCCTTCTGTGGCCTGCTTAAGCCCTCTGCTGGGCGCTTGCTTTGCGGCTGAAATGCCAGTCAGGCTGCATCAGCCAGATCTGCCACCTTCAACACTTTTTTACACCTTCTCTGTCTGTCCACAGAGACCAAAAGCCGTTTGGCCCATCCTGGTGGTTTCTGCCCCAGCAGAAGATTCTCTCAGCATCTGTGCACCTCTGGGGCTGCTTCAGCTCCTTGCATCTTCCACAGGTGCTGCCAGGGGAGCGAGGAATTTGCCAGTAAGTTCCCCATGGAGCAGAAGATAGAGCTGTAAGCTCAGCAAGCTATTTGATAATGGAAGAAGTGGTCAGCCTTTGCCCATTAACAGTTTTTGTGTCCCAAAGGGCTCTGCGCTATCAGGGAACGTGGGGAGGCTGTAGAGGCAGTTGAATGCCGTATCTCACTATCAAAACTTGTTAAGATGTAATAAGATATTAGAGGTATTCTTTCCATAAAATCATAGAATGGTTTGGGTTAGAAGAGACCTTAAAGATCATCCAGTTCCACCCCCTGCCCTGAGCAAGGACACCTCCCACCACACCAGGTTGCTCCAAGCCCCCTCCAACCTGCCCTTGAACCCCTCCAGGGATGGGGCAGCCACAGCTTCTCTGGGCAACCTGGGCCAGGCTCTCACCACCCTCACACCAAACAAGTTCTTCCCCACATCTCAGCTCCATCTCCCCTCTTTCAGTGTCAAACCCTTCCCTCTCATCCTATGGCTGCCCTCCCTGATCAAGAGCTGACCTCTTCATTGTCAGTTCTCACAATATCCATGCCACAGCTGGAGTCCAGACACAATTTTAGCTAACGTGCATGAGTGCAGCTCCTCTGCTTGCCTCTTGCAGACACTTGCCCGTGTTGGGCCTGGGGGCATCTCTGCTGCCACCCCCAGTGCTCCACAGCCTGGGAGCACTTCTTGGTTTGCACCAAAGAAAGAGCCACCTCAGCAGAGGGACTCATCCCACCCCTTTTGTGCAAGGGGAAGCAATTTATCCCTTATTTTTTTTCAGCTGACGATAGAAGGGTATACGGGGGTGTATGTGGTTTAGATACCCCATAAAGGGTTCTTCTGTGTCCAATGGTGCTTTTGAGTGTTGGCACAGTATTAATGATGCTAAAATCGGAGAGGATCCTACAAAGATCCCAGAGTATCTCTGTGCCATACTCCATACTCCCTTTGGATCTGAGGAGGCAGTATCAGCTCTGCCACAGAGCACCACAAAGGCAGGCAGAGGGGCTTAGCCCATATACTACATCTTTATTTATGTGCCCAGGACTCCGTGGGTAGCACCTCAGCCTTTCCCCAAAGGATTACACAAGAAATCTGTTGTAAAGCCTAGATGCACAGTGCTCCAGTTGCTTTGCCAGCCCTCTGAGCCAGCAGCAAATCGATAGAAAATAGAAGACAGATTTTGAGCCTGTGAATCTGCCAGAGTGGCCGTGTTGTTTGCTGCAGTCCTAACTCCAAACGTAGAAAGACTGGAGGAACATTTCCGTGTTTATTTTTCCCTTTTGTCGGTAATCTGTTGACTAAAGAAGATGAAGCTGAAGTATTTATTGAGCTGTTATAATTGCTGTAATTTTTTAAATTATCAAGAGCATCCTGAGAGCAATTCTTTTTGTGAATCAAAATAAATGATTAAATACAGAATGCAATAATGTGATATTCCTTTCCAGAACTGTTGGTAGTCCTGATGAAGCAAAATTATATTGTTGTCTGTTAAAAAAACAGGATAATCTGCAATCTTCTTGTAAACTAGGGGTAAATGTTAAAGTGTAGTCTAATTTCCTACTATTAAAAAAACAAAAACAAACAGTATTGTCCTGTCCCATGTTTCCTGTTTTCGCATGTGCAGATCACAACAAAATTGCACCTCGTACTTCAGAACTATGAAGTTTTTAATAAAACTCTCTAAATATTCAAATAGATTCAAGCCAGTTCCTTTTTGCATACTGTTCCACACCAAGGCAGACTTTTCTGATGCAGAAGCCAAGCCAGAGATCTGTTGTGACGGCACAAATTGCCTGCTAAATATTCTGCGGCATCCTCCAGTGTGCCTCGTAAACTGAAAAGACGCAGAATTATCCCTTCTTTGTGGGAAACAACTGCAAAATGAGTAGTTTCGTAAAGGACTTTTAGAAAACACTATGGGTAGCTGGAGAATCACAGGAGGCTTCTGCCTCTGGAGGTGGAGTAGAGTCTTGTGCTTGATTCAACAGGAGCAAAATCAGTCCTAGTGCAGGACGATCTGCTTCAAAACCCACCAAAATGTTGGACGTGCCAACTGTTAGACATGGATGCTGGTAATGGACCGGTTCTTTCCCCAAGGGCTTGGGGAAACACAGGCTGTTGAAGGTACCAGCCATGTTTGGTGTAGAGACAACTGCCAGTCCAGGTGTCTGGCCCGTAGCGAGAGCAGGAGGGATGATTTTTATTCAAAAGCTGTGTTTCAGTGAGGAAAAACTATGCTATAATAGAAGTTATTTGGTGTAACTCATCAGGATGGCTTCAGGTCCTCATGTATGCATCTCCCAGTAGGATGAAACCAAATAATGGAAAGTATTTCTTACGAAATAAATAGAGGACAATTCTGGAAGGGAGAGACAGCCAGCTGTTGCTGGACTTCAGCCAACGGCACGCTTGGCGCGTTGAGAGCTTTTGGATGTTAAAAGGGAGTTCTGCTTTGGTTCAGCTTATGCTCGAGCTGCTCATTCATTGCAGGATTTCGTGTTCTTTCATCTGAAGCATGCAATCTGTATCATCCAAACCACATTTTTTTTGACAGTCAAAAGAAGCAATTCCTGGGGAAGCTCTGCTCGCCTCCTGCAGGCTTGAAAGATGCCAAGAGTATTGGAAATCTTCTGAGAATTTAGCTGCCAAACTCTATCAAGTTTCTGCTCGAACATGTGTGAGCAGAGCTTTGCAGCGAGCCAAAAATAGGCAGCTTCTTCCCGCTGGAGGAGTTCCAGGCTTGTATGTAGACCCTCCTGCTCACCATCTCCCCACTTTCCTCCCTGCAACTCTCCTCTCCCCAGCCCAGTGCCAGATTTCAAAGCACCGAGGCACCAGCACTTCTCAGGTGAGGGGCTGGAGAAGAAAGAGAGAAGAATCACCAAGAACCATTTTCAGAAACCTTTACTGTGCAGTTCATATTTTCCAAAAGAGTTCAACTCAGTCAACTGATTCAAATTTAAAATTTTTGAGGTAGAATGATTAAAGAGCGTCAAAACTCAATGTAGTGACAGGCCAGATATTTTTCGGGGGAAAATCCTACACCTTCATCGGTAGGCAGCGGTGCCAAATGAGACTTTTTCATCCTTAGGTTATTGTTGTTTTCAGCATTTAAAGAAAACGCCCAAAAGATTCCCTGTATTACATTTTTTCTACTTTTGAAAATTCAAAGAGAAATGGAAAATGTCAATATTTAGAGTCACTGTGAGTCTTCTCCATTTATGAACAACCTTTCATACAGAGGTTCATAAGGACACTGCTAATCCACTTGGTTGTTCTACCACAGGGGCTGTTCTCTTCGACCGCATTAAAATTCTATAAAAAATGTGATATTCCCCTGTTAATTCACACAATACAGTTTGAAAGAGCACGTTTTGTTGTTTCAAATAAAGT